GAACAGAAAAGAAAGGTGCATTTTGTCTTGAAAGGCAGACACACCGTAAATGTATTCCAGGCTGAACCAAGAGCACAATGACGGGTGGTGAAGTGGTAACACTTTGCGAAGAGGAATGTTTCACCTTCCTCCTAGTCCAGCACAGTTTTTGAATCCTGGCTGGAACGCACCAGGTGAGTCGGTGCGACCATGCGTTTTGCACTGTTTCTTGCTGTAGCAGATAGCAAGGAATCACAGTAGCTAGAATTTGTGGCATACTGGCCTTCGAAGTTCAAGAAGTTAATTGTGCAGCCTTGCGGCATATCAGTTGCAGATTTCGACTTCAGTGACTCGTCAAATGGAAAGTTACTAGTGCGCAAAAAGACTCCACTAGAAGAGTTGAATTTGAAATCTTTTTTTTTTTTTAGTCGCAGATATGCAGGGAACATCCCCCTAAAATTCCAGCCTTCCAGCTTTTCTCTTTGCTGAGTTAGCAGTTTTCTCACCAAAACTTTCACTTACCCGTACGTGAGCCTCGGACGGTTCTAAGAAGCTGAGTTTGAAACTTTTGGTCGTGCATGAGTAGGGAGCATTCCCCCAAAGTTTCAACTTTCTAGCTTTTTTCATTCGCGAGTTATGAATTTTCTTGCTCAAATTATCACGTGCCCGTGCATGAGCCCCGGACAGTCCTAAGCAGCTGAATTTGAAATCTTTTAGTCATATTTGGTAGAGAACATTCTTCTAAAATTTCAGTTTTCTAGCTTTCCTCCTTCCCAAGCTAGCGATTTCCCCGCCAAAACTTTTACGTGCCCATACGCGAGAAATATGCATGCGTGAGACACTTGATATCACGTTACTGGGGTCGCACTTGGCCAGGAAGCACCCTGGCAAAACTTCAGCGTCAAAGCTTGCGTGGTTAGTGAATAGAAATACCCGGACAGGCGAACACATACACAAACATACACACACATGCATACGCAGACAGGGTGTGCACGTTTTCTCGTACAGTCCCAAGAAAGCCCCGCAAAAGCCTTGGCGGGGAAATCGCTAACTCGGAGCCAGAAAAGCTGGTAGGGGGAGGGTGGAATTTTAAGGGTATGTTTCCAGGCCCCCGTAAAAGTTAAAGATATTAAATTCAGTTCCCGGATATGCGTGGCTCCCATGCACGGATCCATGAAATTTTTTGATGGGAAAATTGCTAACTCAAGAACCAGAAAAGTTGGAAAGCTGAAGTTTTAACGAAATGTTCCCTGTCCAAGTACTGTGTTGTTGCACAACTAACTTCCTGAACTTCGAGGGACCAGTATGCCATAAATTCCAGCTACTGGGACTCCAAGCGATTTTACAGCAGCGCGAAGTACGGCAAAAACACATGATCGCAGCGCCCGCCTCGTGCGCATCGCCAGTGATTTATAATGTAATAACAAAGAGTTTTCGCATCCTATTTGGGCATATTCCCGACTTGTTGCTCCATCACTAGCGAGGAATAGCCACACTGATAGCCAGTGCAGCCTTGGTATTCGAGCGTAAATTTTTTTGGCTTCTTTTTTCCATCGATTAGCTTTTCATTGCAGCATATCACTTACAGCTGATATGAGGTTCGCTTAATTAAATTTGTACGCCTTACGCGATTTTCTCCCTCCTGGTATATTTCGTGCCCTTTAACTTAGTTTTTTACAGTTTTTCTTTTTTAATCAGGCAATTTTGACACTTACGCTTAAGCAAAAAGCAAAGGGAAAGAACTGCCGCCCCAGTACGCAGCAACAGTTCTGCAGATTAGAAAAAATTAAAATAAAGCTTTGCTGTTTACGAAAAAACTCATGAAAACTTTATACCGATGAGGCCTTGATAAAATGGCTGAGCTGAGTTCTGGCGTGCTCCAGAATATCCCAGTACTCTCTGAGCTGTTCCAATGCTTTCTTGATCTGTGGCACGTAGAGTCGCGTCAAACTTAGCGCAAGATCGGTAATATTCATTGGCAAAACTGTTGAATCCGTAAATTCACATGCCAGTGCTGCCCAGTATCTCCCAACTGCTTCATGGACCTTTAGCGACCACAGCATTAATTTTTGAAGTGGTAGCTCTCTTCCCTCTGCTAGTACTTGTCTCCACCCTCAGATCCTATTCCTCTTCACCTAATCTCTGCATCAAACAGCTAAAAAAGAAACGCATCTAGGGTGTTCTTAGAAGAGCAGATTTCAAAAAAATGAGCAGCAATTTTTGCTGTTTGCATGCTGGAAAAATTAGAAAATAATCTTTGTTTGATTTTGGTAGTGGATTATATGGATAACATGAGATACCGTAGTTTTTAAATCCGAGAAAATGCAATCTGAAGGAAAAAAGAAACAACAAAGAAAACTTATTTAGAAAATAGTTATCCTCGCAACCGAATGTTTATTAATATTCTCTTCTATCATCTTCATCATACTACTTCCAACCTCTTCTCTATTCTATTTTCATTCATCTTTAATCCAAATTCAACTGCAGTTATTTATTAGTTTTGATACCCTAGTACAGAACGATGATCATTACAATAAAATGGGTTGCAACTGACCGGCAAGTAATCAGTATCAATGATGTGCTGATTGGTGAAA